AACAAGGAAGTGGAGTAGACTGATGACTAAGACCTATCTACAGTATAGGTATCTGTGGATGATCCTAAGAGACCAAGTCTGAAGAGACAGTCCCAGGCAGAGTAGGCCTTATATTTATACCTCTGTGGTGGAACCTGCTAGAACATCTTGCTTACTCAGCCTAGTCAGGTGATCAGGTCATATGACCAAGGATGAGGTCATATGAGGTCATGCACAGCCATGCACAGCAGGTCACCTGACCATCCAATCCTTCCAGCAGGTTCCAGCACATGCCAAGGTATACCAGCTACTTCCATGTCATAAAGGCTTAGTCATGTCTCTTGACCAAGCAATGAGCTGGTGCCCTGACAGCATCATACTTGCTTGGGCAACCTTCTATGGTTCCAAGGGCATGTCCTCAGTCACAGTCAGCAAAGTTCATGCATCCATAGAGCAAACACTAACCTTTCACTTCTCAGCCTTTCCTCATGTCCATATTCCCCACATGCAAGGCCATGCCTGAGGTGTTGTTCTTCAACAACAACTGCACTCTAGGCCAATATCTCATAGGCCGACTGGAAGCCAAGCACTTCAAGGAGACTGTGCTTGTGGTGGATGTCTTCCACTACAAGACAAAGCATGCAGATGACAATGTCTATTGCAGCACTCACTGCAATCTGGTGTCTTTCCCTGAGTTGTATGACCCAGCATCCAAAACCTGGACTTTCAATTCCTTGGCATGTGAGCAGTCCAATGCATGGATATGCAAGTATCAGGGTCAGCTGTGAGAGATGAGTGCCATTTGATTTGAGTTCCTCCTTGACAAGGTGATCAAGGCAAGGAATGAGGTGATTGTAGAGGGCTTGGAGCATCAAGGTTTTGCTCCTCACTTGAAGCCTGCCAGTGCACTGTAAACTATGTATGACTAATCGGATTACTTGGTTTATATACTGTACAGCTACCAGTATTCTATGAGCATAGAGATGAACCATGGTGATAAGATAACAGTGACAGCAAGCACAGTTTGCATTAAGCAATTATATACATATGGGTCATTCATTTGTGCAGAAGTTCCACATCAGCTTCTTTGGCCTCATGATCCCTGTCTTGTGCTTCCTTCTGGGCCTTCCTATGAGCTTTCCACTCCTTCCAGATCCATTTTTTCACTGCTTCAGTCAACAAAGCAGCAGGAAGACCAGGTATTTGAGGGGGTGAGGAAGGAGGACTTTCAGAGATCAACTTGGCAGGTCCAGGTGTGGCAGGCTCTCAGGGATTGCTGCAGCTGGAGACAACGCTTCTTCAGAGATATGGGGAGGGTAGTCATTGAAGACCACTGGCAAAGGGGTATGAACATAAAATGGTGTGCCTGTGCTAGTCTGCATGCATACACCCCCCTTGCCCATGGCTGGTGCAGCATCCCACATCACTTGCTCTTTTTCCCTCTGCTTCTCCAGCTTGTCCATCTCCCTCTCCATCTTCTCTTTGGCCTTCTGCTGGTCTTCAGCTTGATTCCCATCAGCAAGAGGCAAATCTCCAAGATCTGGCATGTCAAAGTCACCAGCCTCTTTTCCCAGCAAAGTGCTGGGCTTGCCAACCACATCAGCAGGGTGCTGTGCTGCAGCCAACTGCTTGGCAAGACTCCCCAATATGGGTAGCAGGACCTCCTCCAGTTTGCATGAAAGACTGGTGGACCTCTTGTGCTCCTTCACCACAGTATGGTAAGGCTCAGCATACTTCTTGACAAATGCTGGGTTGGCATGCAAGTCTGGGGCCATAAGCGGCTTCTCAGATGGGAGAGAAGCAGCCATTGACTCAGTTGTCATGTTGGCCCCTAGCTTTGAGGGGATGGGAAGCAACTCTGCACCAGGTGCATATTTGGGATAGTCATGGAATGCTGCTGCTGGCATCATGTTGAGTTGGGGGGTACTTGCTTGTGCCACAGGGAATGCTGCACTCAGTCTGAGTGCTGCATTTGCCCTCAGCACTCTGACATGTGTCTGGGCCACCTGGCGGTGATCTGACCCAAAAGGTGTCCAATGGGTGGTGTGCAAGAACTCACTAGGGAAAGAAAGTTGGTAGAAAATGCAGGAGTCAGCCTGAAGCTGAGCTGTCAGAAATTGGTTGGTAAATCAGAGCTCAGTGTCCATCCAGTCAATCACAAGAAGTCAAGTAACACATCCAGTCAAGCCTGCCTATCCAGTAAGGGGATAATTGGATCCATATAATTGCTAATGGAAAGGGGGCAGAATAAGCTAGATACAGGAGTTTCTGGAAACTACTTATACTAGCTACTGAAAACTGCACTCTATACTAATCCAGTCTCTAGATACCTCTCTAAGGCAAGTGTTGGCATGCCAAATATCCAGGTGGGTTGATCCCATTGCAGAGGAAACTCACTGTTGTCATGCTGAATATCCGAGTGGTCCCATTGCCTGGGGAATCATAGCAGTCACCATGCCAAATATCTGTGGTGGGCCGAGGCTCATTGCTGGGGTGCATTGTTTGTGTAGTGAGCGTCTGTAGTGCTGTGCAATGGTCTCTAAGGCCCGAAAATAGCCATGGGAATATTGGCCTGACACACCCTACCAGAGGTGGGGTTGTTCAGTGAACACAAAATTCCCACCACTGCTTCTCTCTCCCCACCACCACCACCACTGTTGTCATCCTCATCATCCTCCCCACCCTCCTCACTGTCCTTGCCGGTCTCCTTGATGCCTTCTCCCCTCCCCTCAGCCCCCTTCTCACTTGGGCCTCTCTCAGAGAGGTTCAGTGAGTAAGTGAAGCAAAACCTCACAGGTTGCTTCACTTGGTGGGCTCACATGCAAGATGATGCCTCCTTGCACCTCAAAATTGAACTTGCCCTCTCCCTCAAGTGCCCCTTTGGATTGCAAGTACCTGTTCTCAGTCTTGCACTTCCTTTGAGCAACAGGTCAAGATATCGAGGCACTGTTTGCCCAGTCCTTGTCCTGTCAAAATGCTCTCCCCTCCCCTGCATATGCTAGCTGTGGGCCAAGACCAAGAAACTGCTCACACAGTGCTCATCCCATCCACTTCCACTACTCCCTCCCACACCCATGAAATATCCACCAATCCTACTTCCACCCCTCACACTCCCACCAATCTCTCCCCCATCTCCATCTGGGTAGATAATGCTTTGCCATGTGCACCATGGGCGAAAAACACAGGCAGTACATGCTGTCTACAAATCAGCACCCCTGGGAGCATGACCATTATT